CAACTTGGGAAGATGCTAACGTCATTTTTCAATAGTTTTCGAGTTTCATCTTTGAGGATAAGGATGACTCTAAGGAGGGTGGAATGTCATGGACCCAAACAGCAAGAAGAGAATAAGATCCGTTGTTCACTTGTTTTGGTGTAGTAGTTCAAGTAACTCGTAATAGGTAAAAGAGGTATTATTGTCTATCACACATAGCAATTTTTTTCTCGCTTTCGTTATGATTATGTTTCATGCTTCGATGAAGCGAGTTAGTTATGCACGGCTAGCGTAAGATGAATGTTGATTCCTTAAATTCAGTACCATTGTAATGATACGCATCTCATGAATATAAAAAATATTATTCTCTCTCAAATTCTCTCTATCCCCCTCTCGTTCTTCATTTCTTCCTCATTTCTCTTCTTCTTCAAATCCTTTTTAAATTCCCTATTCAATCCAATCTCTCGTCACAATGGGAAATTAAATACTCAACTTATGAGTTTCCCTTTCTAGTTTTTAGTATTTGATGCAAGGGAGCCCGAGTGGGTTTGGGTCGATTGAATTTGGGTCTAGAACCCTTACGAGTGAGTGGGAGGTAATACGGTTTTGTTTACAGAGACCCGGCTAACATAATTTGATGAGAAGCTAAATAATTAAATTGTTTATTTAAAAATACTTATCTACAATTGTTTATTTAAAGTATGTTCCTATCTAATTCGATTAATATTCAAATATAAGTTGCATAATTTAATTTAAGTCCGACCTTCATTTTTGAAAAACTCGAGTGAAAAAAAAGAGATCCGCATGAAGAGAAAAAGTTCTACAAATTTTTTACTTGATGGAAGCTAAAAAGGATCTTTTACGCCAATATAGCAAATATTATTATTAAAAAAATTGCATTATCCCATTTCCTTTTATAATAAATAAACATAGCTATAATCTTAATTAGGATTTATCCTTAGTTCGTTTTTTAATATTGTTCAGAAAGAAAAAAAAGATTTAATTTTGCTATTTATTTAATTTGAGATGTCATGTCAGCATAATTTATTTATTTATTATTGCTTTTAACAAACATACCTGTTAAAAAAAAAGTGTCTTTTCACTTAATAGAAAATGTTAATCAACATAGAAAAAAGATTTGATTAAGATATTTTGCAACATTTGAGATCAAATTGATAAAATTTATTGATTTGAGACTCAATTGAGAATAAAGAAATAGATTTAAGACTAGATTGAGCTTTTTTCAAACTAAATCTCCTTGTGTTTGATTTATCCATCCCTAAACTCTTTATTTTATTGTTTTATGCTTCTATCTTGCAAATTCATCATTTTTATATGGATTGCTTTTATTTTCTTTGATGTTTTGTCTTTAAAATTTTAGGCACAAATCTTTTATTTCTCCACAAATACTCAAGATACGTTCACCATTCTGAATTTATTAATCGGCCTGGACTTGGTTCTGTTGCTTAATGCCATGTTCGTCTTCATAATAGAGTTCCATTCCTTTAGTCGTGGAATTCTGTTTCAAGGATTGAGCTATCGTGATCTTTAGTTTCATTCCTTTAGTTGTGATATTCGTTCACGTTTTAAGCAATGCTTTCCTACTTTTTAATTTTTCTAAAAGATATATGAATTTGATGAGAAAGTGTTGGTTTTCCCATCATGCTATGGATGGCAGAGGGGGTGTTTGCAGCAAGTGGAAAAGAAGAAGACAGAAGACTTGGGTCATCAATATTTTAGTGATTCATCATCCAAATTGCTTTTTCAACATTCTAGCACTATTCCCCTAGGGATTGGCAAATAGTACTGTGCTGCACCTCTTAAATTATTGCTCAAAATGGAGGCATGGTTTGGGAACTTAGCTGACCGGTCGTATACAATTGCATTTCTTGCAGTATAAAACTAGTTGGATACCATTGCTACACTGCGAGTAGATAACCGTTATATATATAGGGTTAACAATTCGTATATTAGTAATGCGAGTAAAAAGTTTTATTTTTAGTGATTAATATAAATCGAATCTATATATAGTTAATTTTTAACAAAACTAACTATATATATATATTCGTAGTATATAGAATAAATAGTAAAATTAAAAGAAAAAAACCACCTAAATTGTAGAAATATATCGAAGGCAAAAGATTAAAATAAAAAATATAGAAAAATTGGTTCGATAAATTCTAAATAAATATATATAAAAATGCAAATAAAACTTGTGAATTTTTTGAACTCATTGTTATTTTTTAAAAAAAATTGAGCCAAATTATCTAAAACATATTTTTAACTCTCTCTTTGTGTGTGTGTGTCTATATATATATAAGTAAAACACTCATTTAAAAATATAAAAATAATTTATTGTATAAATTATAATAATATATTTTAAAAAAATAAAACAATGACGTTCTAAATTTTTATTCCAAAATTCATATATTAAAAAACCAAATTTATTAGAAAATAAAATTATATCAAAAAATTAAAAAAAATTAATTTAATGAGAATTTTAATAAGAAAAAAATAATTAAAGAAATAAAATTTAAACAATAAGAATAAAATAATCGGATATGTATGTTAACATTAACAAGAAAGATATAATTAATATTGGTTCGGGGACATTAAAAATACCAATAATATATATGTTTTCTTTCTCGACGAAGGGACCAATTATATGTGACTCGCTTAACTTGTATAGCACCTATGTTATGACAATATGTATATTCTTTTAAGAGTTTCCTTTTGTCTTTTGGTGATCCAATCCCAAAACACATCAAGATTTAAAATAATTAGCCAATTTTTTTTTTTTTTTTGTTCTATCATGAGATATAGGAAGAAAAAAAGAGCTGGGTCGGTCCTAGTTGGTGTGTGTGTGTGTGTGTGTATCGTACTTAGCAGATTCAAATTATATAAACTAAGTATGTATATATATATATATATATATATGTCGAAGTGAATAGATTTAAATAAAAAATACTATAAAATTGATTTAAATAAATTCAGATTATATATTTATATATAACCAAATAAAATTGTGAATTTTTTTAAATAATTATTAATTTTTTTTAAAAAAATCAAGTCAAATTATTTATTTAATCGATTATTATTTTTTTTAAAATGAAGTCAAATTATTTAAAACACCGGGGGGACTCTAGCATGAACAGTCTCACCCCTATTTTTTAAACTCATTGTTATTTTTTAAAAAAATTGAGCCGAATTATCTAAAACATATTTTTAGCTCTCTATTTATGTGTGTGTGTGTGTGTCTGTACTGTCTGTCTATATATATATATATATATAAGTAAAACACTCATTTAAAAATATAAAAATAATTTATTGTATAAATTGCAATAATATATTTTTAAAAAATAAAACATTGACATTCTAAATTTTTATTCCAAAATTTATATATTAAAAAACCAAATTTATTAACAAATAAAATTATATCAAAAAATTAAAAAAATTAATTTAATGAGAATTTTAATAAGAAAAAAATAATTAAAGAAATAAATTTGAAACAATAAGAATAAAATAATCGGATATGTATGTTAAGATCAATATCAAAGATATAATTAATATTGGTTCAGGGACATTAAAAGTACCAATAATATATATGTTTTCTTTCCGAGCGAAGTGACCAATTATATTTGATTGCTTAACTTGTATAGCACTCATGCTATGACAATATGTATATTCTTTTAAGAGTTTCATTTTGTCTCTTGGTGATCCAATCTCAAAACACATCAAGATTTAAAATAATTAGCCAATTTTTTTTTCTATGATGAGATATAGGAAGAAAAAAAGAGTAGGGTCGCTCCTAGTTGGTGTGTGTGTGTGTATCGTACTTAGCAGACTCGGATTATATATATATATACATGGAATATGTTGAAGTGAATAAATTTAAATAAAAATTATTATAAAATTGGTTTAAATAAATTCGATTATATATTTATATATAATCAAATAAAACTGTGAATTTTTTTAAAATAATTATTAATTTTTTGAAAAAAAATTCAAGTCAAATTATTTATTTAAATGATTATTATTTTTTTAAAAAATAAAGTCAAATTATTTAAAACACACTTTTAGCTCTTTCTCTCTCATTAAATTTATATAAGCAACACTACCATTTGCAGATAAAAATAATCAATCGTATAAATTATAATAATATATCTAAAAAAATAAAACAATCATGTTCCAAAATAAAATTTCTCAAGTCTTATATATAAAAAATAAATAAATTTATTAATAAATTAAAAAAAAGGATAAATTAAATCTCAACAACCCAATCGGTTAAAAAAAAGAAAAAGAAAAAAAGAGATGTCAGTCGGGAAAAAAAATTAAAAGAGCTATAATAATAAGATTGCAAAAGATGCAACAACAATGGAACCGTGAATGATCAGTTTAGTAGCTTAGGCCGGGGGTTAAGAAAAAGAAGAAAAAAAAAGCAAGACGCCGGGGGGGGGGGGGGGGGCGCTGTAGCATGAACAGTCTCACCCCACCCCATCTAGTTTTTTAGGTCATTTTGGTCTATTCATTCTTGGCTATTTCTTTAAAACGCTGCGAGCCTCGTCTATTTTCTTTTTGTAACAAAGGAGAAACTCACTCAAACTCATATAAGACCTCTAAACAAAGCGACGTGGACCCCAACTGAGCTATAAACTCATTCCCATTATCTCTACTATTTGCCATGCTTGTGTCACGATCATGTTTGTGGAGCACAGCTCATCCCCATCTTTTACAGAATTAGTCCTCTCTTGAAAAATTTGCCATGACTATTATAATAAATTGGTTCCCGACAATGATTGAAATGGAATCATATTGCCATAAAGCAAAAGCTTTGTAACTATCACAGTAAAAAATTAAAGACCTTACAAAAGAGAGCATTAGACGGCAATACTGCTTTTGAAAAAAATTGTTAAGACCAAACAAGTCCACTTACAGCCATTGGGTTGCATCTACGACAGAGTGATTAATTATAAATGTGGACAAATAATAAGCCGAACTTGTGTTTAACGTCCAACAGTCTGATGCTGAGAAGGCGGGTTTCATGGGATGTGACGTTGGGCTTCTTTAGCTTGTCATAGAAGATTTTCTCGGAAGGCAATAATAAACCATAAAGAATGACTACTGGGAAGGGAAGACTTCTGGTAGGAAAAGTATTCCAAGGATGGGACCCTCTGGAAAAGAAATTCTCCAGTAGGACGATCAGGAATGGAGAAAAAAATTAACAGAAAATTACTAATATGACCAGAGGACCCCCCAATAAATTGTAATTAGTTTAGGGTTTTGTTTTATAGCAGGAGCTAGAGTAGATTGAGGCTCTTCATATTCTTTCTTCCAGGAATTCTCTAGCCATGGACGACGTACACCCTTCAAGCGACAGCATCGAAGAGGAGGCAACCACCAAGTGCTACAGTGATGGGTTTGATGATAACGAGGATCCGTTTTTCTTGTCTGATGATGATTTTGTTGGTGGGGATGATGGTGCTGCTGATGCCCTTTTGGAAGATATAAAAGAGGATGAAATTGATCTCCTCAAGCACAAGCAACAAGACTACAAAATCCTGAACACAGCAGAGATTCGTCAACGCATGGAGCGTGATGTCGCTGAAGTATCTACCGTCCTCTCTATATCAAAAGATGAGGCAAGTATCTTACTCCGTAATTACAATTGGTCTGTTAGTAAAGTTAATGACTCATGGTTTACTGATGAATTTGAAGTCCGTGAAAAAGTCGGCTTGGAGAAACTTGTGGTAAGTTCTGATCTTTCCTCCAATAAGAGAAAAATTATCACTTGTGGGATTTGTTTTGAACCCTACACTAGTGATAGAATCAGATATGCTTACTGTGGACATCTTTATTGTGAAATTTGCTGGTCTGCTTATATTAGCACATCAATTAACAATGATGGTACTGGGTGTTTGATGTTGAGGTGTCCTGAGCCCTCTTGTCGTGCTGCTATCGGTCAATACATGATCGATTCATTAGCATCTGAAGAAGATAGGAAGAAGTATTCCGATTTCCTTGTTAGGTCATATGTGGAAGATAATAGAACGACAAAGTGGTGTCCCAGCCCGGCCTGTGAGCATGCTATAGAATTTTCTGGTGCTGATGGAATCTTTGATGTCACTTGTCGTTGTTTTACTAGTTTTTGCTGGAATTGTAAGGAGGAATGCCACCGTCCAATGGACTGTGATGCAGTGAAAAAGTGGATTTTGAAGAACAGCTCAGAATCGGAAAATGTAAATTATATACTAGCTTATTGCAAGCCTTGTCCCAATTGCAAGAGACCAATTGAAAAAAATCATGGTTGTATGCACATGACATGCAGGGTTTGCCGCAACGAATTTTGCTGGTTATGCCTGGGTCCATGGAAAGGTCATGCGAATTGCAACCGCTACATGGAAAAAACTGATACTGAAGACAGAAGAAAAAAATTGGCAAAGGAATCTTTAGAGAAATATACACATTATTTTGAACGTTGGGATGCAAATCGAAAATCGAGACTAAAGGCACTTGCAGATCATCAAAGAGTGAAGAATGAAGAGTTCAAGAAGCTGAGTGAGTCACAAGACATACCAGAGGCCTATTTGGAATTCATAACGAAAGCATGGCTGCAGGTAGTTGAATGTAGGCGAGCTCTGGAATGGAGTTATGCATATGGATACTACCTGCCTGACAAGGATCCTGCTAAGAAACAATTTTTTGAGTACTTGCAAGGGGAGGCAGAGTCCACCCTGGAAAAGCTTCATAATTGTGTGGAGAGCGAGCTGAAAGAGTTTCTTGATGTTGGTGGCCTATCAAAGAAATTCAGCGAATTCCGAACAAAGCTAGTTGGACTGACCACTGTGACAGGGAATTACTTCGAGAAGCTGGTTAGAGCATTGGAGAATGGCCTATGTGATGTGAACTCCCATGTGATCAAGGGATCAGAGGATGAAGTAGAAGATCGTTGGCATTGTGACCGCTGTACCTATGCTAATCCCTCCTCCCTCAAAAGTTGCAAGATGTGTTTCATTAAATGAAGATCATGTTGATGATTGAGATTCTGTAAGATTATATTCTGGAGTTTCATCTTTAATAATTTGCTATGTAGGTTAGAACTATTACTTTCACGCTTGGTATCAACCTTTGACGCCAAAATGCTCAGTATATTTTGCTATTATTTCTAGGAGAATGCATTTTATTTGTTTTGGGGTGGGGGACTGTTTGGTACTAGAGGAGCAACCGAAGAAGAAATAAACACTAAATTTGCAATTTCTTCAAATAGTGATAATTTTATTCAAATTAAAGAAAGGGACAAGAAAAGGACTGCGTAACATACATCAAAGAAGCTTGCATATTAGGAATACCGTGCTTCTCACGATGAGTTCCAATGAGTGGGAAATTCTATGACTAAAATCTGCAGATCCTATGCTTGATAGATTCAGGGCCCCTTAGCTCACTTCTTCTCAATTTTGGTACTGTATTCATACATGTTTTTTTCTATAAGCAAGTAGCAGCACATATAAAAGAATGGGTTAAGGAACAAATTTGCAGGTATCTATGCTTCTTTCCATGCCTGTTATAAGAAACTGGAAAAACAACGTAGCATCGATATCTATATATCCATCCATCCATCCTCTCTAGCTACCTATCTTACGTAGCACCAAGAGAGAGTCTTGAGAGTAGGAATATACAAGCTGAGGAAACCATTACTGCTCCAGCAAAACAGGCAAGATCCAAACTAGTTGCCAAAGGTATATTCTTGAATTTCTCCAACAATCCCACTTGAAGTACCATCAAAATGGCATGCCCAATTTTAGACTTTGCTTGTGAAACTGACCGCATTTCAACCCATGTTGGGAGGGACTGCAAGAAGGACCAAAATAATAATCAAATCAGTATTTTGGAATTTATGAATGATTTATTTTGGATTGTTAATTGAAAAAAAAAAAAGAAAAAACCCACCTTCAAATAGAAGAGGCCAAACAAGTTTGAATCTGGCAGCAACAACGCTTGATCTTTTGGATTCTTCGATCCCACAAACATAACGTACAGCCCAACTCCAAAAATAAGCATGGCAGTTCCTACCAGAAACATGTCTGCATAAAAATAATAATTGATCACGATATAATCAAAATCAAAAACGAAAAAAAAAAAAAACCTGGTTATTGATTTTATATCTACCTATGGCTTCTATAAGTAGCTGCACCATGTGTCCTTGATCAGAGATTTGAGATAATGTGCTGAAATACTGAAAATATGACTCCAAAATAAGAAAGCAACCCTGTAATATTATGATTCAAAAAGGATGGTATTGTCAGCATTGGAATGTATTGATTAAAAGAAAGAAAATATATCTATTGTTTCAAGCTTTTCCCTCAAAATATTTTTATAGAGAAAAATAATATTTACCTCGACGAAACACAATATTGAACCAACCAAGGACCCCATAACAGCAAATAACGTGAAGAATCGACAATCAACTATAGCCTGCACAATTGCAGTGAATCAATTTAAATGAATTTGGAGACGATAAATAATTCAAGTTATTAATAGCTAGGTTCTCAAGTGCATTTTTTTCCACAGAATGCAAATTCATGCATGCCTATAGCTGCGTTACTAAAATTAAGTATGCAAAAATATTAAGGAAATAAAATCAGTAACAGAAACTAAGAAATGAAATAATGAATACATAAAAATAAATATATAAAAAGCTGCGTATCCTAGTATTTGGTCAACAGCGATCCTATTGCAACATTCTGACATAGAAGAATGTGTATGAATGAAGTGCACCAAAAGTGTAAATATCTGATTAAGAATGCCACAGATGGAGCCCATCAACATAAAATATGATTTTCTTGCATTTCATTTGCGCAAAAGACTTTTCCCATTCAACCATCCACAGCTCCACACTTCTTGGGATCGGTCAACTACTAAATTGTAACAAAACCCAAAAAGAAAAAAAAAAAAAAAGCAAGACATGCTGCTAAATCAATTACTAAGAATAAAATTACCTTCTCAATGAACATCTGGACCTGCAATTTCCATTGCTTTGGTTTCAAAGCGGGTCGCCTAAACACCTTAAGCAAAGAATGACTAACAGCAGCAAGCAAAGAAGCCAAATCTATTAATCCTCGTTCAACCCTTGGTGGCTCTACGGTGAGCAAAGAACCTTGTGAAGTAACTTTGGATGATTTGACAGCCACTGTGGATTTCCTTTTATGATCACCATGATCCCTAGAAACCATCTTCTCCCCATTCAATCCTGTAGCCTTTCCTGCACATTTCACCTTAGTAAATGGTGAAGAAGTTGTGCTAGGAGGACCAACATGACGCAGAGGCTTGGACGAACGTAACAACCTTGTGGTTGCCATTGTTCTTCCCACTTGGTTGCTCTTTTTGGGGTTTTAGTTTTTGGTGGCTTTTGGGGTTTGGTGGGCTAGCTATATATACGCATGTTGAACCTTGAGGAGAGAACATTCGAGGCATATTAGTAGCTAGTGTCGCTACATGGAGGTGGAGCTTTTACACTTTTCTTTCTTCCGGACACCAAAATTTTGTCCATAAACTATACAGCAATTCTTTTAATTTCATTCTGAAATAAATAATTCTACCAATTAGGTCTTTTAATGTTTTACGCCTTTCTAAAGATCCTTTATTTTCTATCTAATGGGCATGTTTTATGCAATGTAATGGTGCTTTTTCAAGAAAATATTGATCGAAACAATCGATGAGCACGAATAGAAGGATCTAATTGAAAACCTTTTGAAATATTAAGGAACTAATCGATAAAATCTTGTTTCAAATAAAATTGAGATGCGATTTTCTCCCTTTCCTTTTCTTGGGGAGGATGGGTTTGATTTGTTGAATTTTTGACCTCGCGTGGTGTTTATAGTTTTACAACGCGTGGGTTCAAATGAGTTATAAGCCGCACACGTCTTGGGGACTTTTACTGGGTAGAGCTTGGGTCGGTTTTTCCACGAAGAAGAACATTTTGTTTGGTTCTGATGATTCTGGCGTACTAAATAAACAGTATGCTTCCGTCGAGGAATAGTTGTCGGCGCACGTGCCAATAGTTGAACGAACAAGAATTTTAGTTGGGAGTTATGACATCATTTGCTTGTGTTCAGGTTCAGCACAAAACTTGGCAGTCTTGTACAGTTGTCCCCATTGCTTTATAACACAGACAAAGCTACCAGTTCCTTATTCGTAATAAGAAGAGCTTCTAGTCGAATCCAAAAATGATTATTACTTTTTCAAAGAGAGACAAAAATAGTAGTTCGGCCAATGCGCTCGGTTTGTCTGTGCATTATGTGCTTAATACGATACATGCATTAAAAAAAAAAATTAACTATAGAAACACCTTTTTTTTTTTTTTTTTTGAGAAATGTTTCTAGCATTTTACAGATTTATGCAGTTCTTTAATATCATGTTATTACATGTTTTCAAAAGTTAAGGAAAAAAAATACAAGTAGAGCATAGTCTAAAAATTATTCATTCGGTAGTTTCTTTCAGTGTATGTAACTTTTAATAATTTCAATTTATTTAGTTATATTATGTAATTAGAGAAGACTACCACCGGTGCATAGTTAAAAACCCAACCAGTCTCCTAATAAAAAAAAGTTAAGAAAAAACAAAATTCATCTCAAACATAACAACGCTCCCAGAGGGGGGGGACCAAATATGCGGTTTTTCTTCTTCTTATTAATAACAAGGGAAAGAAGTTTTCAACTATAAGTCTATAACAGAGTTAATTGTCTTTTATTAATTCCCAAAATTCCATAACTCTATCGAAACTAAAAAAATTTATTCCAAAAAATTCTAAGTCGTGAGGCACTCTCTTAGTGACGCAAAATTTAAAATTAAAATACAATCGTCACTACTATTTCTTTTTATGAATTTTTGTATCGTCACCTCTAAAGCAGTAATCAAGTTTAATATATATACATTCCTTGCAATTGCATTGGCACACGATCTTGGTACGTGCACTAGCCAATGTGAACTTCTGGACCTTTTCCATAGTACGATCGTATGATGGGGTTATTTACGATCCCAAACACGAACACGCATGTCCATATCCACCCTCTATTCTAATTTACGGCCCAAAAAAAATGTCCGGTTTCTACCTAATGTGATGATTTGTATTCTCTTCCAAGAGGGCCTGATGTCAGGATTGAAATAGTACAAAAGACACAAAACACTGATATTACTCTTTCAGATTGATTCTTATGCCCGCTAAAATTTTTGGCCTTTTCTTTCTTTCTTTATTATTATTATTATTGGTTCTGCTCTTGGAATTCTAATTAAGTTGAAATTTCAAATTTTGAGTATTGAACAACCAGAACTAGAAATACAGTTTGGGCTTTGAAAATTTGACCAGTCTATAAATTTTATCCAGGCCCTTAGCCAGTCAAGCTATACAGGCTCAAAAATCAATACTACTGGCCGATAAATATATCGGGCTCTTACCGGCCCATTACAAGGCTCGGTGGCGTTTCAAGCACAACGAAACGCCATCTGCCTTTCCACACACTCGTTTTCATCTTTGGTTTCTTCGCTGCCCGGATATTTTGAGAGCTCAAATCCTTCGTTAACTCCAAACTTTCTCTTCAAAATAAATTTTGATTAATGGGCACGAAATTCATTCTTCTCTATTCTAATAACAAGTCATGATCCAGGCAACACCAACTTCAAGTTTTGGGTCATTCCCAGCATGCCCAACAACCAGGCACCAGTCTCAATACCGCAAAATCATCCCATTCAATTCGGTTTCATCTCAAAAGGGCCAAGAGTCAACCTCACTGACTCTCCAAGGTAACAAAACGTAAGTTGCTCTGTCTTCTCTCACTTATTTTAACAAATATCTTCACTTTATTGCAAAGAAACTCACTCACGGGCTAAATTTGGAGACTTTTTCAGGTGCGAGTGTTTTGATTTGCATAAAGAGCTAGTCCCATATGGAGATGCATGGAATTGGCAGAAGGAGATGATTAGAAAGAAAAAGGGGTTGATTGAAAGGAATGAAGAATGCCCAGATACACTGATCGTTTTACAGCATCAACCTGTGTTTACAATGGGTACTGGTAGTTCTATAGAATACCTGAATTTTGACATAAAGGATGCTCCTTTTGAGGTCTATCGTGCTGAGCGAGGTGGAGAGGTTACCTATCACGGGCCTGGCCAGGTACTTAGTTAATATTATGAGAGTAACACTTTATAGTTGTAACTGGCAGTGCTTTGTGTAGCATGTTTGATTGTCTGCTGTTGTTTGCCATATTGACTCTCTGGGTCAACTTTTTGAGCTTTGTTTAAGCATGTAAATCTATTGAATTTTAATAGACGATCATCAATTATCATACCATTGAAGCCTAACTGGTAATGCATGGGTCTTGCATTGTAGCTTGTTATGTACCCAATTATCAATCTTCGAAATCACAAGATGGATCTTCATTGGTACCTCAGGGAACTTGAGGAGGTGGTCATTCGTGTTCTTTCCTCGACATTCTCTATTAAGGCTTCCCGAGTTGAGGGTTTAACTGGAGTTTGGGTAGGTATGCTTCTTTATCCTTTATTTGCAATTTTTATTAGTTTTACGCTAATCAAATGATATTTATCTGGGTCTGCGTGAGCTTGAAACAATATATGCATCTCATATGGTGGTTATATTGCTTTTCAAGGTTTGCAGGCATTTGTTAGCTTAGGAGAGCTCAATGCGAACAGATGTTAGTTAGCTCATTTGTCTCTCCTATAAACATATAAGATGTAATACAACTGCTTTAAAAACTAGAATTTATACAACTGGTACTGATTTTAGACAGTGTTTGCGAGATGTGAAATTGCAGAATCAAAGAGAGATTCTTTGAACTTTGTGTTGTTTGGGTTGGGGGGTGGGGTGGGGTGGGTGTTTATTTTTCTCCTAATTGTTCTTTTTGAAATTCTAATGGCAGGAGATCAGAAACTGGCTGCAATTGGGATAAGAGTATCTCGGTGGATAGCATATCATGGTTTAGCACTCAATGTCACTACAGATTTGACACCTTTTAATTGGATAGTTCCATGTGGGATCAGGAACCGAAAGGTTGGAAGCATAAAGGAGTTGCTGGGAGAAGCCAGCTTGTTCAATGGACATACAAATGCAAAGGCACTTCATATTGATTATTCACAACTAATCAGTATTACATACCAATCCTTGATCAGAGAGTTTTGTGAAGTTTTTAACCTTAAGATCCAACACAGAAGTGCATCCATTTTGGAGTCTATAGAGAAGAAGCCAGAAAGCTGATAACAGAAAAATTAATTAACTTGGATCATGTCTGTAATATTTAAGCAAAGAACACCCCTAGTGTTTTTCAATGTCTTTGTAATTCAAGGGATGAGAAGGTGAGCTCTGCTTAGTTCTACTTGGTGCCCATTTTGAGGCGCCTGTGTAATTTTTAACATACTATTATGACCATGCATAATCCATGCGTGTGGAAGGTCTTTGTTTAAGGTAATATTGTAGGTGTTTTCTTATGTAGTCTTGGAATCCCAGTCAAATAATGCTGTTGATCTAGCATGTTTGCATTTATCCTAATTTGATTACTGATCAAGATAGGGAACCTCTGACGGTGAAATCTGAGCTAGCACAGAGATTTCATTTCATTGGACCCATTCTGGGTTACAAATCTTTGTGAGGGTTGCTAATAGCGTGAGAGGTTTATCCTCGAAGCTTAACTGTGTTGCCTTGGTGATGCCTAACCGCAATCCTAAACTCATGCCTTGAGGGTTGAGACGATACCAATAATTACCTATGTTAGTTTATCGGAAAAGAAAAGTGACATTGCATTTGCATGGACCTGGTTATCAAATATCAAATGATATTAGAAGATGACACTTCTATCCACATGTATGCACGGTCATTTCAAGATATATACCACGTATTATATCCCATTTACCATTTACTCCGTCAGACATGAAAGTTTCACACCATTAGACTGTAAGAGTCACATGACTGATACAAATTTTCCCTTTTTCTTTTCCCTCTGTTTTTTTTTTCCCCTTTCTATCTCATTCAGGCTCCCCGGGTCCTTTTCAATAGCAATATAATGCTCCAGCAAGATATTTGTGAGATGGGGCTGCTTCTTTGCGGATAAGGCCTCCAAATTAAAACTCCTTTTTCATGGTGGAATTCGCCAATTGAAGCTCAAAAGGAATTTGAAAACGAAGAAACCAAAAGAAATATATTCTTCAGTTTTCTCCATCTCTCATGTAATGGCTAGTTCTCTGAGCTTCTTGTCACAACCCAGAATTAGAGCTGTAACCAAACGTCCTCCTCATCCCTCAAGCTCGTTTCTTGAACTATTGAGGGTTAGCAGTAGAAGTTTACAAGTAACAAAGAATAAAGATTTAGCACTGATTGCAAGAGTTTATCAACAAGAAGTTGCGAGTGTTCAAGGAGAGAATCTGGTGAAGCCAGATTTTAAGCGTTTATGCAAAGAGGGGAAAGTGGAGGCAGCTCTTGAAATCATGAATGAAAAGGAAAGGAATGGGGACCAAGCAGACTTGCTCGATATTATGAACTTGATACAAGTTTGTGCTGATTTGAAATTGCTGGAAGCAGGGAAAAGGGTAGAAGAGTATGTTATGAGGTCTTCATCAAAGTTTAAGTCCAGTATTGTTGTCCTCAATAATCTAGTGGAGTTGTATTGTAAACTCGGCAACACAAATGGGGCAAGAGAAATATTTGAGCAAATGGGCCTGAGAAATTTGGATTCTTGGAACAAGATGCTGTTGGGTTTGGCAGAGAATAAGGAAGGAGAAAAGGCTCTTCAAATCTTTTCCCAGATGAAAGAACATGGGTTTAGGCCAGATTGGTCTACCTTTCTTGGTGTTTTAATGGCTTGTGTGTGCGTAGGGGCAGAGAAGGAAGGGCAGAAACATTTCGAGTCAATGAGCAAGGATTATGGGATCACTCCCTCGGAAGAGCATTATGAAGCTATGGTTGATCTTCTTGGAAGATGTGGAAAGATAGCGGAGGCAAAGGAGTTCGCTGCAAATATGCCAATTGATCCAAACTCCAGAATTTGGGAGACTCTACGGAACTACTCAAAAGCCAGAACACCAGGGAAACTGGGTTATCCTGTATCGCCATCTGGATTGAAACTAGGTAATATGAAAAGGGCAAAGGACATCCTTAACACAAATCATAGAAGAGTGACTTCAGACAGGAGCAAGGCATATGAAAAGTTGAGGTCTTTGACTAAGGAGGTAAGGGATGCTGGATATGTGCCGGACACAAGGTTTGTGCTTCATGATCTTGACCCAGAAGCAAAGGAGAAGGCATTGTTCTATCACAGTGAAAGGCTAGCCATTGCTTATGGACTTATCAATACACCTCCTGGGACAACTTTAAGAATAATGAAAAACCTAAGGATTTGTCTGGACTGTCATAATTTCGTCAAGATCCTCTCCAAAATCGAGGACCGAGAGTTTATTGTGAGAGACAATAAGAGGTTTCATCATTTCAAGGCTGGAAACTGTTCCTGTCGGGATTACTGGTAGAAGCTATACTGCTCCTAAATCTTCAGTCTTTCCCCATTGCATAAATATGATTTGGTGATGGCAAACTGGTTATACCTTAGCATAAAGAAGCATAATGTTGCTTCAAATTGGTTCATTACATTTTATTGACTCAAATAGACACTGCTTGTATTTCATAAGCCATCAACTTGATCTTCACATGGGTGATGACAACTTGGTTTTCTTTGTCTTGGCATCGCAGTGCTCTGCCATAAAGAAGGGCAATAAATTCAGTTCTATTCCAGGCTGTTTTTAAGTTATTAAAGAATAATTTACAACATCAATCATTAGACGATATGGATAGCTACTTTCCTGATTTCTTTATATAAACTTAAGAGCGTGGTGCTGATTGAATTTGAAGGAGGCATTACACAGATAATTTTAGGTGCAATTTTTCTTAAAAAGTATACCTGCTTTTGTTTTTTAAAATCTAAACAGAGTTTATTTTCCTAATTTTTGTTTTTTTTTTTCAATAACAGAAAATCATACGCCAAACAGACTCTAAATTCCACAAAAGATGAATTAATGAACAGACTTTTCGAAAGTTCTGAGTCACACGTGAAATCATATAGCTGAAAAGATGAAAAATCTGAAATTGATCACGCTGTTCAAAAGAGGGAAAACAACAAGGTTCAGAGGGGAGCATCCGCGGGCCACATCCAATAAAAAGAAAACTCCTTCCAGAGAAAAAATTGACAGATTAGTTTGTAGTTATCAAGTGCTTTTCAGATTTCAAGACTTGTGTTAATTGGGAAATGAAAGAATATAAATCGAAGGATTAATAGCCGGACACTAGGAAGAGCTTCTCCTATGAGCTTCTTAGCTTGCTCTCTTGCTTCCGATATTCCTTCCATTTTCACTCTAAACCACTGATTGACTGCTAAATGCTTGCAGTATGGATCAATTGTGAACTTATTTAGTGCAGGATCATTCTTGAGGAATATCCTTCTAGCTCCATGTCATTTGGGTAGCCTCGGAATCCAGTTATTTCAACCTCCTTCAGATGTTGATGGCTATATGCAATAGCATTTTAAAAGAAATTCACAGCTCGCCCTGCATCATTTATGCAATCTTTTCACTTAATGCTGCAAGTGGCTTCCGCCCCATCAACTGCAAGAACAAGTGGCATCATCCCACATGTATCATTAGTCAGCAAAAAGATAATCGATGTATGCGTATAAGCAGATTACAGGTCCATTGATGATTGCCAAGAGAGACCTTACATTCTCATGAACTTAGAATAATTGACAAAGAATGTCTAAACTTTTGCACTTGAAAGTATAAGGTGTTTTCCACTTTACTCGTCCATTCTCGTATGTAGAACGTAGATAACAAACTTTTTTTGGGATATTCATGCTGAAATCAAGGATGCTGTAGATTCCTTTAAGTTTTGGACAGAATATCCTTGAAACTAACCACAAAAACTGAGATTTTTAACATAGGATTATGTAATGACAACAATGCCCATACCAAGGAGTTTGATAAAATTAAAGCTGAAAGAGAAACTTCAAATTCTAGAAAAATAAATGGAAATTATCATGTTTAAACTTGCTAAACATTCAAGTTAAAATGACGATAAGGTGCCAGAAAATTAAATCCCAGAATAGAAACTCACATGCACTTTTAATAGATGCAAAAAGGGTGACGCATTTGAAAGATACCTATATCCGACAAAGCTTTCTTCTTTGGCATGAACTAGTAGAGTCAACACCTTAAGATTAACAAATGTGGGCAATACTTTTAAACACATGTCAACCTGGAAAACAACTCCAATGCAGTTAGTCCAAGAAATCTGTCGAGGAAATGAAGCAGCATCAGAAATCAACTTTCACCACCCTCTGTAGGCATGGTGTCCAGCATTAAAGTTTCAAGCTGAGATACTCCTCTTGCTAACTGGCTAAAGAAGTAAGATGGGAGATCCCACTGTGACAGACAATTGAAACTTCCTGAATACTTGTTACCAAGATATATATACAGTTGTGGAACAGACTCAAGAGACAAGTCAATATTCAGGCCAAAATATTTAAATGAAAGGAAACTCGTTGCACATATATTATTGCTCTTCAAAGAATGGCAAAGGTATACCTCTAAGTACTGCAGGAAAGGGCAAACAGCTTTTAAAGTAACCATTTTTTTTGCAGCCTTGTAGACATAATCTCTGAAGAAGTGAGCAAGTAGAAAATATTTTGTCATGTAAATCATCAGTTACATATGCATCCCTCAAAGAAAGGACTAGAAGCGTCTTTGAAATTGTCAAAATCTGGAGAAAGAAGCAGTTTGTACTTTGCAGAGTCTCAAGAACAAGTATTCGAGAGAAGACACTTTCTTCAGCAAAAAGATCACTTGGATCAAAAAAATACATATAAGGATCCACACTCAAATCCAACTCTAAGTCTTCCCACAAGTTTAGCTCAAGATATCGAACTCGTTTGCTTATTGCAAAAGAAACCACTTATCAATTACAGGAATCAAGCTTTTGACACTTATATATATAGACAATGATAAAAACTCTAAACCTATCTAAATTTGGAATTTTATTAGAATCCAACATCCTATTCACCCAGTCTATAAATTTTCTATACCCCACCAGAAAAAATCCTATTATTTTAAAAAGTTCAGAACCCATCATAATAAGAACATCCAAACTGATGCTTGTCATAAATCTCCACAGATATCTCCATCTTCTTGAACACTGGTAATTGCTGCCGCTTTAACTGTCGATAATGATAGAATATGAATAAGAATTTCATCTGCAAAGCACTCATCCGATCCATCTTGTAGTTACTAGACTGATTTTTCCACCAAAATAAATAAATAAATAAAATTTAAAAAGGGATGAATTGCAAACTCCAAACTTATCATTATAGACATTGACTTCGAGAAAAAAAAAAAAAGGGTTCATCAAACTCAAATAGTTTGCTTCATTGAACCTTAGTCTCTGAAGGAAAAAAGAAAACAGATAAGAAATTTCAACTCGCCTCAGCAGAAAGAGGTTCCAAAATACGCGGTATCTTCATTGAAAGCAGCTTTTAGTAGGTTGGAAGAGACCCTTAAAATGGCTTGGCTACCTTAAATTGGTTCTTCCATTTCCATTTTTTTTTTTTTTGTGGTAAAAAATCAAGTAGGAATTGAAGTAACAATGGGTGTCTTTCATATTAGGACGCTCTGAGGAATCTTTCTGAAGAAGTAGCGGTAGTTGGAAAAGAATCTGAAAAATAATCTAACATTTTGGGGCCGAGTTTGATAACTTATGCCCTTGTTTATTCAATATGTCTAGAGGCTTAAAGCCCATTTTCGCGCACATCCTTTTCGGTCAGAGCATTGTGCTACTTTTAATTGAATTTGAAGACCTTACACGGAAGAATATTTCCGATGACAATTTTTCTGACCAAGAATAAAAAATTATGCACGATTTTTTTTTTCAAACCCAATCAGATTTTTTATTATAGTTTTTGTTTCTTTCCTTTTCCAGTAAGTGAAAAATTATACACCTAACTAATATATCACAAAAAATGAATTTATGAACAAACTTATCAAAAAAAAAGTTCTGAGTGACAGGTGAAACCCTATATAGCTAACATTCTTCTTGGTGTTCAGAAGAGGGAAGACGACAAGGTTCAAAGGGGGAGTCTATGAAGTCATCACCCACTTCCGATCAAAACAAAGCTCCTTGCAGGGAATAAATTGGCAGATCAATTCTCAGTTATCAAACTGCTTCTCATATTTCAGGACTTGTATTAATTGGGAAAGTTTCTCTTTTCCATCTCTTTGACCAGCAGGAGCCAATGAAGTTCTTTCCAGGTTTAGGGAGGTGGATGAGCCTGCCTTCAGATCATCAAGCTGCACAAAACGTCAAAAAGAGTAAGCTGGTAGATGACACTCTGGAGGATCTTTTTCCTTTTCTTTTTCTAATGAGGATGGATAGAAAAAATATCTCACATAAGAGATTACCTTGAATTGCAGCTTACTGATTTTTTCAATCAGCCTGCTCCGTTCACTTTTCTTTTGCGGAATAGAAGGATCAGTTTCTGTTGGTGAAGATGAATCCAGATCAGAAGCAGTCTGTGTCTCTGCAGGTTTGGATGAGCTCTGTGTTTCAGAAATTAGCTGCTTCAGTCGAGTCTGATAGGATGACAGAGCCTTCTCTCCATATTCAATGGCTTTAATCTTGTCCCTACCCTCAAGGCAGATGCATATTTTGGCATTTCTGAATCCTGATGTACGGATGCGTGTGATTGTTTGGAAAGCAGGTTTTGAATTGGACATAGATGTAAACAGTAATAATAAGACAGGCATGGTAATTGTTTTGCAAAATATGAGATCCAACACCAAACAAGTAGTGGATACATATCTGCTATTCGCTGTTTATGAAAATCGTCATCCAAACTCTCAAAAAAGGATGATGCTTGGATGTAGTAACGCTCAGGATTTGCTTCCTCTACAAAATGCAGCACAGACAATAAGACTATATCAACATGTCTTTTGCATAGAAGATAAAAGATTTCTGTTTAACTTCTTGTTAAAAGCAGGGGAAACAGAGCCAACCTCTTCTCAGTGCAACCTCCCCAAGGGCAGACAGAGTGTTTCCTTTCTCTATTAAGCAGTCTGATTCCTTGTCCAGAATTGACCATGCAATTTTTAGTTCTTTCTGTGCTGCTTCCATCTGATTTGCGTAGTCCTCTTGGGTAATGGTACCTTCTTCCATGAAAATACACATAAATTAAGGAATCAGTGGTTACAATGAAAAATCTGATCTGAACTTTCATAGCACAAATTAAGCTCAAGTAATTTCTATCAAATATTCAACGTTGGAATTTTGCAACACGTGAGGACCCTTATCCTTTTCTACCAAATTAGGATCAGTTGCTAAAAGCCTCAATCAATTAGGCCTTTTTTAGTTAATTATCAAATTTATACATGGAGAGGTCATCTTCTATATATTTACACGTACACTTCTGTAATGAAAATCTGATAGAATCTTAACTGGCAAAATGACTGGAAAGGAATTGTCATCGGTGACCATATACTTTAGCTATTGCAAGAGTTCATGAGAAAGAGACCACTAAAAAATAGAGTTGAGCGCTGACGATTATTTGTAATTAGTACTGCTAGGCATGGGATGACAATAAAGCTAATTTTTACTAGGAGAGAAATTACTAACCGCTATATAACTTGCTATAAGAACTATAAGATATATCTTCAGCAAGATAGTAATCGGCTTCCTTCGGTACAAAAGCCAATGGATCATCACCTCCCTGAAATGGAATTTCAGACAACAAGGAAACACCATGAACATGGTGCAAAAGCATGTCTTCCAAAGAAATGTCATCACCATAGAGTTGAAATCTGGATAAAGAAAGAATAAAGTCTTATAAATTTATGCAAACAAGTTTTGATTCACCAGCAGCAAACACATAAAATGAACAGCAATAAAATATTTGCAGAACACTAAAAAGAATTCTGGTTACTCAAATATATATATAGAACTGCACATAATTAAGGAACTGTTCTCTTAAAATTCTTTCCCAGCATTGTACACTTGTATCAAATTCAATGAAATTTTGAGGAAATAGTACTCATCGAATACCAAAAACACTTTAATCTAGTCCAACGTTATTAAAATCAAAGGTTTTTATTCCAAAGAATTCCTCTTTTCTGTTCAAGAAAACAGTAATTCCAGCCCGGTCAGTTTAACCAATGCAAGAAGTTTGGTAAATAGAAAATTAAGGACAAGAAGCAAAAAATCCCAGAATCTAAAACCCACTTTCTCCACAAACAAACAACAAGGAAACAAATACAAGTAGACAAGGAAGCATGAAAAACAAAAGGCATACTTATGAGAAAGGCCTAGAGAACCTAAAGAGTAACAAGAAACGCAAAGAAAAGAATTCTAACCTGGCATCACGAGCACTCTTGAAGAGTTTAGCAGCTTCATCAAAGCGGGCATTTTTTAAGGCGGATGATCCACGCAAGATGAGAGAGGTGAGCCAAGACCTAGCGCCAGGGATACCATCCATTCTTGAAGTAAAGAAGACGAAATAAAAAACCTGTAAAAACTTCTTGAGAAGAGTATAGAATTTGGAGTAAAGAGAGAAAAAAATTAGAGGATTTGGAGTAATGAGACAGAATTAGGAATTCGTGTAACTAGGTCAGTTGATCATCTTATTTACACTTTGGGCGGGAAGAATCTGGGCAGCAGCCAAGAACGTTGCTTCTCTTCTGTTTTTTTTTTTTTTTTTTTTTCAATCATATTAGTCGTTATTAATCCTAAGAATCCAGTTAAACACCTCACCTTGAATTTACCCCACGGCCCAAACAAAAAGGCAACCCAATGAAGGGCAAAATACGCAAGTTGATTGTATAGAAGTAGTTTTTTTTTTTTTTTTTTGGTAATGGTTAAATATCCTTAGCTTCAGGCCAGTTTTTAGCATTTTGTGTATTTATAAGGCTACACACCCACAGTAGCCATTTCCTCTTCGTAATTCCCAGTTGCATTTTACCTTTTTAAAATGCTAATCAAATGTCAGTAACGAGGACAAATGTAGAGATTCTTTTCCATCCATTCTCAGTTCTGGTCTTTGAGGGAAGGGTATCAATAGCAGGCCCCTTTTGTTCCCTTTCTGTAGTCAAATTTTACGTTAGAATGTGAAAGCAGCAAACTGGAAAGCATGCACATCTTTTATTTTCCAATGTGTAAAATGAAAGGGGTCTTGTGTCAGTGGCTAAATATATTTTGTAATCTGCTTATCTGCATTTTTTTTGTACAAGGCTGCTTTTATGGATTTTGATCAAATGCTTGTGTGCTTAGAAGTACTTGTTATCTCACTGTGAACTGGTCATTCATGTAAGTCAATGCCCTTTGTTCCTACAGATATAGCGTCACAAATCTCCTTTGCTAATAACAGCCCGTTGTCTCCTACGGAAGTATCGAGGGATTGAGTCTCGAGGTCAGGAGAAAATGCAGGGCAATCTATGATTGTTTTCCAATTAGAAAAAAAAAATTACAGTATATTACCAAACGGGCACAGGAACATTATAAATTCCATAGAACTATGAATTAATCCTGTAGCTAAAAAGATGGAAAAACCTAATGCTGCTCAGTGTTTAGAAGAGGGATGAGAACAAGGATCACAGTGGCATTCTATGAAAACATATTCACATCTAATCAAAACAAAGCACCTTGCTGATAATTAATGGATGAAAATGGAAGACAATTCGAAATGTAGTAGCGCTGAGGATTTGGTTCCCCTACAAAATGTAGCACAGAAGATGTCATTTAATCAATACATTCCTTCGCATATAGCAGATAAAATATTTCTTGTAAAAACAAGGATAATTCTGAATGCAACCTCCCCCAGGGCAGACAGTATGTTTGCTTTCCCTTGTTGATATTCCATGAGTGACCATGCAAGATTTAGTTCTCGCCTTTTACCATGATCAGGAACATAGCCTGAGGAGCTAGTGGCTCCACACAGACTTTACATAACCAAAGGAGTTATGGTGATTCTTTGAAGGGAAAATAATACCTAACTGAACTTTAATAGCCGCAAAATGTAAGCTGATGAAACATCGTGCGCTTCCTAACAAAATTCTGCGATAATTTTGGAAACAATGCAAGGACTCTTCATCCTTTTCTGCAAATTACGTACATTCGATTAATACTTCAGAATTCATTAGTTTTATACACATCGAGGTCTTGTCCTGCATCTACTTCTCTAATGAGAATCTGCTAGAAACCTGAAAGTGCAAAATTAATTGAAACCAAAAAAAAAAAAATGAATGAATGAAATTATAAAAAAAAAAAAAAGCAAAAAAAAAAGAGACAGACAGTCGACAAAAAATAGCAAAAAATAGGAACAAAAAAGAAAGAAAGAAAGAAAAGAAAAGAAAATTGAGGATTGAGTAATTGGGAGAAATAAAAAAGAAGAAGGATCGAAATAAACAAAGAGAAATAAAATAATAATAAAAAAGGATTAAAGACCAAAGTGGAAAAGATAGAGATTTTGAAAGACGATAAAAATTCATTTATTCAAACAACGCAGTTTTGGGCACCAAAAAAAAAAAAAAAACCAAATAAATAGAAAACAATACCAGCACGGTGAAACGACGTCATTTCACCTTTCTGGGTATTGTTCTTTCTCGTCCTTTCTTGCTTTTCTGTGTGTTATTTTCTTTTTCCTTTTTCAGGTTCTCTTTTCTTGGTTTTTCCCCCTGTGAACAACCCTCTTTCCCCTATCTCATACGTTCTTTCCTCACAAAATCACGTCAAAGAACACATCATTCTTACCCTATACTTTTGTAGTACATGTCCAATACAAAAATTGCTGCTAAAAATTTCCAAAATTAGTTGCTCTGCAACACCAAAGTAGCTACCATAGCCACAAACAAGCACACAACGGCAGCTCAAATTTAGTGGCAAAAGAAGAACAGGGACAACTAGGGTAGATGAGCTGATTAGTATGAATCCTACGCATTTAAGGGCCGAAACCAAATCCTAGATCGAGAAGTTTTAGGTCTTTTCTAAGCTCCTTTAAAAGAAGCAACAATGTTTGGCCATGAAGTTTTTTTTTTTTTTTAGGAGAATTTTGGAGATTTTTAGAACTGAAAAAGCAGAAACATTAGATATTAGAGAGGGAATTTGGAGTCAACAATAAAAAGGTTTTAAATTTAGTTTTGATCCAAAATAACAACAAAGAAGAAAGACAAAACAAAAAGGGATAAAGTGTTTTTTTGTTTTGGAACCAGCTTTGGCTGAAATTATCTTTTCATCATTTGTTCCAACCTTGTTGGCATTGCTTGATTGTCTTCTTAGTAGGTACATCGCTTTTTGGTTCTATTTCATTACCATATCAAATGTATGCCTAGAATGATTTGGTTGAGTTAGTTTTTATTGGCTTGTTGTAAATGAATTTTGGCCTTGTTTTTTGACCAGTTTTGATCATATTTTGGTCGGCTATTTATTCTAAATTTTGACCAAAATCCGATTATTCCTCCCCTTTCTTTGCCGATTGCTTGGTGAGGTTGAAAGAAGAGATTGTTCTAGGTTCAAATGTGAGCTAAAAGTGTTGAAACATGAAGAAAAAGATTGGGCAAGGCAACATAAACGAAACTAGAAAACTGCTGGCAGAATGTGTTTTTTGGAACGTTTGCCATTTTTGTTGAGTGTAGTACTCCTTGATTTTATAGCCTTGCTCTAACATAAGAGTCTTTCAATTATACCCACTATCCTACATAGTAAGAGCTAAATTAAAAAAAAAATGTAGTTTTAAATTTGTCTTTGAAGTCATTTTGGTGACTGCTTTTGTTGTTTTATTTAACCATAGTAATTTAAATTGGTTTACCTTTAATTTTATTCCTATTTTACATAATAAATAAAAATTTTAGGAGAAACATCATGTACAATGTGTTATTTTAAAGGTTGTCACATGTGAGTCAGTTTAGTCCTTAATCTTTTAGCTTACTAGCTTTGTTATGGTATAATTTAGCCTTGCCTCAATTAGATGTTTATTTTATATAAATACATAGTTTTTATTTATTATTTAGCATGAATAAATATTATAATTTTTTATTTTGCATCTGTTGCTATTTATAATTTACATTTGCCAAACTTTGCAAACATAAATTACTATTTAGATCATTTTTACCCTTAATTATTTGCATATCATGAATTGCAATTTCATGTGAGAAGTTTATCTAATCCAACATTAGGTCAGTAAGTCTTCTATTTTTAAAGACCAACAATTGCCTAATGAGATTTCGATATTAGCTTGTAATTAATATTAACTACTTTTTTTTATCGTAGAATCATGTTTATTATTCACATCTTTTGCATTTATAATGTCTTGATTTGTCATAATATTTCTTAAATAAAAGTCATTCTAGGACTTCAATTGGATCCGATCTTAAATTGACAGGACTTTTAATTTAGAGACCAATAGTAATTTAGTGAGATTCCACAGTAAATTTGAGTTAATTTTGCATATAAAAAATCACATCTCATTTCGTCAAGATTTTTAATTATTGCATGTCACACAATGCTTTACACAAGTTTACCTTTCGTGTCTTGGATTCTCATTTAACATATTTTTTACATATGCTTTTATATTTAAAACTAATGGATCTGACATGACATTAAATTGATGAAATTTCTAGTTTTAGAGTCTAATAACAATTAATGAGACTCCACAAAGTTTATTGTCCTTTTTTATGTATTTGCCAACCATTCAAGGTTGAAATTTCATGCATCATTTTGCAATAATTAACTTGTTTTTTTTTTTTTAAATTGACAACATCATCGAAATCCTTCAATTGGGTCGAGTGACACTAAAATCTCAAAAAAAAAAAAAAAAAAAAAAAAAAAAAACACCCAATGTTTAGACTTTACCAAAAAAAATAAATAAAAACAGATATTTGAGCCTATTTTTTAGAGCTTGTTAGTTTCGAGTTCTACCATCAAAACAAATTAAATGTAAAGAATTAACTCTTTGAATTAATTTTAAATTCACATATATTGACTTAATTTAAAAATAAACTGGTAAATAGATTTAGAAAATAATTTAGTAAATAATGGTTAAAAAAATATTTTAGGATTAGAAACAAGGTAATCTCTTTTTTTTAAAAAATATTATTTTAGATGATCGTTATCCTCTTTTAAACATAATCAACTCTTTATCTTTAGAACCATTGTATTTTTAAAATTCTTAATTTTCTAAAAATATTCGGGTGTCGATTTTTTTTTCAAACTCTTTTATTCCGGATGTTTCATACAGTTACAGTGCACAAGGGCGCATTCTGAAGAAGATTCATTATAAAGTTGGATGCTGAATAAAGGAAGATTAAACGATTAACGTGCACATAGAATTCTGTCCCTTCGCGGAACGATATCTTGCATCAAATTCAATAAAAATTCGAGTAAACAGTGCACATCAAACACGCAAAATCATTAATTGCTTAGTTAGCCCAAATAGTTTAACCAATACAAGAAATTTTGGTGAGTAGAAAACTGAAGGTAAAGAACCCAAAAGACCCAGAATCTCACACGCACCCACTTTCTCAGGAAAAAAAAAAACAAGAAAACAGATACTACAACTAAGCAAGAAGACATGCTCAAAATTGAAAGAAACTCAAAAATAAATGACTCAAAGAAAAGCATGAAGAAACCTAAAGAGTAACACAGAAAAGAAACCTCACCTGGCTTCCCGAGCATCCCTGAAGCAATAAGCAGCTTCAGCATAGTTGCCGTTAGTGAAGAAGAGTGATCCATGCTCCATGAAACGTGTGAGGTCTTGATCGGAATAAACACCTATTTTCATCCATTATTGAAGAAAAGAAGATGAAATAAAGAAACTAGTAAAAAAATTTCAGAATGAGGGCAGACAAGGTTGGTAGCTGGTTATAAAGAGGGATTCTGGGCGGGAAGAACCTTGGCTTTAACGGTTAGGCAGCCAAGACCCTCTAGCTTGGTACCGTTAATAGCATATTGTAATGCCCAGCCCATAAAAATCTGGGTTCCAGATTTAGTGCTCACTTATCTTGGATTGTTACCCCAGGCCCAATTTAAAAGATGGACTGAAAATAACAAAAATGCTAAAAACACTCCAAAGTTTATCATCAGTTGTAGCATGCATTCTGGGACTATTTAATTGTGCATTTGTTCTCCAAAAATCATAATCCTGACTCTTGTGTCGTATGTACTCCCACGAAATGCTCCTCTAAACCTTCAAGTTGACTTAAATGACCAGGTATTGCCAGCTGGTTATCTCACAAAACAAAGAGGGTAATGGCCTTCAAGATCAGAGCATTGTGCTAATTGATTATAGAGGGAATCATGTCAGATTACATTTTTCAAATCAAGTATAAAAGTATTCCTGATTTTGTCTTTTAAATTCCGATCAGAATTCATTTTCGTAGTTTCTGTTTCTTTCTTTTTCCAATTAAAAAAATTTACAGTATATGCCAAACAACAAGACCCCAAGCACATTATAAATTCCATAAAAGGTTCTGAGTGACAAACGAAATCCAATATTTAAAAAGATGAAAAATCTGAGGAAAAGAAAAGTAAAAATTTACGCAGGTTTTTACATTTCGAATCTTTGCGATCAGCAGGAGCCAGCGAAGTTCCTTCCAAGTTTGGTAAGGTGGATGGCCTCAAATAATAAAAGCTGCAAAAAAGAAGAGTAAAGGAAGCAAGCTGCTGGATTACATTCTGGAGTATATTTTCCTTTTCTTTTTGAGTATTGATAGCAGAGAATATAATACAATAAAATACAGGCCGGCCCATAAAAATATGGGCTCCCAGATTCTGGAGCCCATTCATTTATCTGTAAGAGTCCAGTAAAGGACTCGACCATCGAATTTTTACCCAAGGCCCACATTAAAAGATGAGCACAAAAATGCTAAAAAACGCTACTAGTTTATTATCAGGTGTAAACACGGTTTCAACATTTAACTTTTATCAGAGACTTCTGGAGTGTGCTCTTGATTCAAATTCTAGCAAATAACCAATTCGTAGAGTATTGCTGGTCATAGAAAGGGAGCAAGGGGTATCCATAACCATAAGACAGTTACAAGCAAGAAGAATGCTGATTGATTTAATTGCCAGTCCCAAAAATTGTACAGGCCTCATCTACCAAAAAGAATTAGAAGAATTTGTTATGAACTGGTCAAAAAGTGATGAAATAGAATTTTACAGCACAGCTCTATGAAAAATTTTCACAAAACTTTTGTCATCAACGAAAAGCCTCAAAACATCAATAGTTCTCTGCTACAGGTCTAGAAGGAAAAAGTCTCAAAAGAAATGTCATCAACGACCATAGGCAAACCAAACCAAGGACTTGGAAGGTCACTATCATCGAAACTAAAGCATTGCTTCTTTCCAACAGTAAGGCAGATTCAGGAAGCCCTCTCAAAGTGAACATCAATTTCTCAATAAAATGAACAGCTTTTGTCAGCTGATATAGCCGATAAACCTGTCAAACCAAATTCAAATTGTCAAACCATAAATTTTGTCTTCGAGAGGGCATGATTGAAGTAAATGAAGTCATATACCTCAAAGATGATGGGGACTAGAGGCCAACAAGATGACCCACGCTTGTCCATATAAGTCTCAAACAGACGCTGAGCAAGGCAGCCAACTAAGAAGGGAAGCACAGCAACCAGGGCTGGCATGCCAAGAACTGGCCAGGTTACATACACAACAAAGAGGGGGCAATAACCTTGAAGCCCATGGCAAAGAAGGCAGATGCCAGGTATCCTCTGAGGCCAGTGATAAGACCCCACCTCTTCGAGCTAAATTGCAGATAAGGCCTCTGAATGCAATCAGTCACAGTCAAGAAGGTAGCAAGACCAAAGTAAAACACAGCCTCAAAAGCTAATGATGTCGCAATCTCTGCAAAATAGTTAGCATATAAGATGCTTAATGGATTTCTTTTTCCCATCTTAATCATAATAAATGCACACTCAAGCAGAGCAAATAAATCATACTATTACTTTGACATGGAGTGACAAGTACTCTTACTATCAATACGAGTATCAAAAGTAGCTCATCATATTGAAATAACCAACCAGGTTTACCCTGAAAGTTGCAGACATGACAACAAAAGCCAACAATTGATTCAATTGCAAGGCCACATAGCACAATAAGCATCCATTCAAAGAAGTGAAATCGATAGCATTTTCCTAGAACACCAGGGAGCACGCTAGTTTGGCACTCTGCTATTGATCCAATAACCCGGTGACTATCAATAAAAATGTTTTCAAAACCTCAATGGGTCCTCCAAAGTCTTAAAAAATGAACCAGGTTTTTATTGTGCAGAAGCACTTCCCATAAACTCACTAATGATAGTTAGTGTGCACATATGTAGGAGCAACTAGGCTCCCCCTCCATGAAAAACAGATTACTGAAATCCAAATTACCCATGCTCAAAATTGAACCACAATAGAAACTCATACTATGCAATGCTATCTATATGCATAACTTAAATCTGTCATGAGAAATTGATGGCGTTCAAAATGAGCTAATGGGAAGAAAATCAAAAGATTATCGCATACAAGTGAAGCAAATAAGCAAACTATGGGGAGGCCAATTTCCACATTTCTTTTTTGTGCTCAGTCAAATATTCCAGTTCCACACCACATTCCAAGTGCAAATATTTCAAGAAACCAGACTGATAAGTACCTACAAGAACTTCATCCTTGAGGAAAGCCTCAATTGCGGAGCCAAGGAAGAACTGAGGCACAATCAAAGACAATACCAATGCAACTGGTCCCAATAACCAAACAAACGAGCCTTTATCTTCATTGAAAGGCGCTGAGACCAATCTCCCTTCTTCCACAGACTGGTGAGTCAACCCATAAAAAGAAACAGAACCTGATTTACCATTTAACGGCTCCATCCCATCAAAACTACTGGAAGGCACACGCGAACGTTTCCTTCTCGAAATCTTTATATTCGTATCAGCATTAGAATTAGAAGTAGAAGAACCATGTATTACAACTCCTCTGTCCAAGCTTAACAAAGAAAACCCCTTAAATGTATTCTCGAAACCAGGCATCATATACACTGCAATAAGACGAAAAAAAAAACACTGGTTAGAGCATGGAAACTGCTTTAAATCACCTGTCAACTCGTGTGTGAAAGCAAAGCTTACGTTTTGATGGGTTTCTAAGCTGGATTCTTGGATGTCTCAATCTAACATGGCTTCCAGATACCTTAAATTTGAAAGATTGGAAAAAAGCAGCATAGAAAAAAAATTATGTAAGAGAAATGTAGGACAAGACACAATTCGAGCATAATTTTGAGCAAACGTACTTACGATTTCGTGAGACAATAAACGATTAGCAGATAATCTGAGTTGTGGGGCAGTAATTCCAGTGCAAACTGATTGCATTTCCATTTCCTGTTGTTGGGAATTTTTATTCAGGTTTTAAGGTTTTACAGGTGCTTAAACCCTAACCCGCTAACCTCAATAAAAGCCTGTCTGTTTTAAGGAGATGAACACGTGTGTGTTATTTGTTAATACGTGATTGGACATTTTTCCTACATCCATTGGGCCCATTACAGCATGTTCTGGTCCAAAATCTAATATGCAGCCAGCCCAACCTAAATAGAACAAGACATGAGAGAGGTTATTATCCGTTCACAAAATGAAACATTTTGTACTTTTCTTTTTCTTTTTTTTTCTTTTTGGTTTCGAGAATGGAAAATATTTGTACGTATCAGAAGCAGAAAAACAAACAAAGGAAATATTCACTGATGCAATAATATTCAAATTCTAAAATTTAAGGAAAAAAGAATTTTGTTTTCAGATGTCAACTTTTCCTGAAGAAAACATTAAAAAAAAAAAAAAAAAAAAAAACTTGTTTCCTGTTTTTCTAACTTATTAACTAAACTTTTGAAAGCAAGATTAAGTTGTTTTCCACAGTTTTCATCACTTGCACGAATGAATGTAAACTTGACTTTCGTTGTTTTTCATGTTATTGAATTTTTGTTATAAAACATTCCCTCGTCATTTATTTAAATACTAATCTTTGCCTCATTAGCTCATATATATATATATATATATATATAGAAAACATAACAACGTGTGCATGTTTTTTAATTTTTTTCATTTGAGAAAGTTATTTTGGAACTACGGTACATAAGCATGTGCAACGTTTCCCAATATGGAGCGCAGTAGCACACCCAAAGCATTGCGTTTGAATATTCAGCTTTTTCCCTTTGCACACTTTTATCTTTTCGAAACAAACAAAAAGTTTCGTGACGAAAAAAGATGGGCCAAGGCCTATGATATATCCAATTATATAGAAATACCAAGATGGCCTTGAGAAACAAGTTTGTATGCCCAGGCCTTGAAAGACTGGAAAACTACATCCCAACCCATCTCACAGTACGAAGGTATTTAAAATAAATAAATAGATAAAACTATTTTGATACCTCCTGTTCATATCAAATCGGAAAATTGAATCATGTATATATAGTTTGATTCTGCATTCGTTATGTTTAGGCAATTTGTTCGTTCTAATTAACCTTGATTTTTAATAGAAATCCAGTTATGTCAAACCTTGGGGGGGGGGGGGGGGCGGGGGAGGATATTAGTCAAGTAACACAATTTTTGACTAAGATGTCTAGTCTTAATTTTGATTAAACTACAAAGTCATACGAAATCCCCACCTTAGACTGCATATTTGAAAAAAAAATAGAAAGAATAGCATGTAAATCTCTTTGTTTGTTTACTTTACTTAAAAAAAGAATGATAATATAATAAAATAAAGCCAGATATCTATTCGAAATTATATGCAATGTAGGTAATATTTTTCTATTCGGCAAATCTTAACATAGCAAATATATTTTTTGTCAATGGCTGAGGGTACTTGGATCAAATTGTCTAAAACAATGAATATGAAGTTAAATTTGATTGATCGTGTGCATATTTATTTATTTAAAAAAAGAAGAAGATAATTTATAGTGAATCTTGGATTATAAAATAAAGGTATTCCGTTTTCAATCTTTGAATCGTCGCTCTATCATTTTAGAATTTAATTTAAAAGCTTCCATATATATATATATATATATATAAGTAATTTTGCCGACATTTAATCCATGTCTTTTTGAAATTATTTTTATTAAAATTTCATATTATTATTTTTTTATATTAATTGAGTTCCTTTGCTATACATTTTGTTTTGTTACCATTCTTTTATTATAATGCTCCATTAGTTTATATATTTACGTGGTACATCACCGTGAAAACCTCATTTTTATTTGTCACACATGTCATATGTAAATTTTTTATAGAGAGACTCAATTGAAGAGTGTATATAAAAAATTACAGGAAAAAAAACTTAAATTTTAAAACATATAAAAATTAAAATGAAGAATATAGGTATCCAGCTAACATAAAAACGAGTATAATATTTCAATAAAAACAATTCAAAAAATATACAAATCAAATATGAACAAAATTCCACATGTAATATCGCAAACAATAAAGTGCACTTGGAGATCATTTTTTCTTTAAATTAAAAAAAAAGTACATATGCATAGGCTTAATATAAAAAAAAATGCTCTGACTATTTAATTTTCCAAGGCTCCCTTATTGTTATTGTACACGCATAGCGAGAAAAACAAAAGAGTAAATTATAAATCAATCTTTTTTTTGTTTTGAAAAACGAATTACCTAGAATTTTTTATTTTAAAAACTAATTATTTAATTATTTATGTTATATTTTCGTCAATAACTTAGTTTTGAAATAATTTTTTGTTAAACTACTTTTTTTTCAAATTACCTTTTTTAATACTTTATTCATCTTCTTTGATCACTTTTTATCCCTTTTTCTTAATAAAAAAAAGTAATTTAAAAATAAAAAATCAGTAATCTAATGGAAAACTGATTAAATTATTAAATTATTGATGAGATTAAAATATAAAAGACTAAACAATTGAATTTAAAAAAAATTAATTTATTCATTTATCTAGATGAGAGGGACTGATTAGAATAAACTCTAAGAAAGAATAATATTTTGTTTGAAAAAAAAATTTTGATTCATCTTGGTTACCACCCACGTGCTATTTGACCTGACCGTGAGAAACGCGGTAATAGTAACAGTGGTCGGAAGCTGAAAGTACAAAGGTTTGACTCTCTCCTGCTTTTGACGTTCAAACAAGCAAGCATGCTGTAGACCTCACAAAAAAGACGCACAGCCACCCCTCATATGTTATGCAGCTCTGGTAGCGGCCACTCCGTACACTACAACATTTCAAACACGCGCTTCATAAGGCCGGTGGCCGTGACACCCTAACAGCCGCACTTTCTGTATCTAGGATTTTGTAAATATTCCTTTGTGTCTGTTTCGAAAAAAATAAAATTTAAAAACTTATATTTTTTATTTTTTTGATATTTGTTTCGTATATAGAAAAAAAAAGATTTTAAGTCAACAAAAATTAATAGATTATATTTGAAAAAGTAACTTCCTAGCTAAAAAAGAAAAAAACATTCTCTCACTCACGAGCTATCTCGCTCTTACGTTACTCATCTCTTTCTATATATTTTAACAATTTTTTCTTTATTTTTTTTATTTAACATATACCGAATTAATTTTTAATTATTTTTTATCAATTATTATTCACTATTTAATTATTTTTTTCTCTATTTCTATTGACATTTGATTTTTCGATTTATAAATACATTAAATATTCTTAAAAATCATTTTTACACTTTAAAATTATTTTATAATAAATATTTTAATAATTTATCTATATTTTTTTAACGAGTCTCAAACACCACTTAAACTATACTTAAATGATTGAAAATAATTATTACAAGACTGTAATTATTTGAAACTAATCAATTCATTAATAAATATATTGTTTTTTCAACATTATTCATTTGCAACTAAATCAATAATTTGTGACTAATTTAAGTCGTTGTAAAATTTTATTGGTGATTGTAGTCAATAATTGTTTACAATTATTTCAATATTAATTTTTTGAAACTAAATGAATAATTATCTAGAAATGATAATTAATAAAAAATAAAACTATCTTTTAGATTAAATTATCAATTCAATTTAAAAAAGAAAAAAAGAATTCTTAATTGAGTTATCAAAATAACAATGCTAAGATTATTTAGGAATTTTTTTACTAAATGTGAATATTAACTTGACTTTGTCCCAAATAGTTATGATAAATTGGTTTGATGGTTAAAAATATATATATTATTTTTTATTTTTTAAATTTAAATATCAATATTTATAAAAAATTATTAAATTTTTTCAAATGCATCTTATTAATTTTAAAAATATATTTTTGAAATCTTTCAAAAAGAGATTTAGTTTCAATTGTAAATTGATTTAAAAATATTTTCTATATTTGAATGATAAAAAAAAATTATGGTACAAATGATATTTCAATACCATGGGTCTCTGTCTCGATATATTCTTGATTATAACTCATAATTCCTATTTCGATGCATTAATATATAAGTGACTTATATATTTTGTTTTATTAGTTTTTTGTACATGGATAATTATGGATATGAGATTTTTTAACAATTTTTATAATGTGAGATTATGAATATGTCTTATTAAAGCTTCTTCAAAACTTAATAATGTAACCATCATAATTTATTTTTGTATTTTAATTTTTTATACCAAATAAATGTTAAAATATATTTTTTAATGATTTTTTTATATAGCAGCTTGATAATTAGCAAACGCAAATCACATGGAGTGCAAAGTGACGAATCATTTAGCTGTACTTTCTTACTATGGACAAAGCGACAGGCCCACAGTCCGCCGCACATGACCAGCTTCAGAACTAAATTCCCAAAGTGGAAGTGAAGCGAAGGGGGGGGGGGGCTCCTTTTTTTGGGGGGCCTCACTGTTCATCGCATTTGCTTGATTTAGTTATAAGAAAATGATGATGAGATCAAGGATGGATCCGCAGCTTGTTGCAGCAAGCCACCATCTTGAGGTTTGCTCTTGGTGTCTACAGTCTAGATGGACCCATGGTGGAATCATCGTGCAGTGATATTTTTGGGAAAAAAAAACTATATAATAAGTAAATTAATTTTGATTTTTTTATATCAATTTAAAATTTTTTTATTTTAATATATCAATTTTTTTAAACTATCAATCAAGTTTTTTCTGTTTAATTTTTTATTTAATAATAATATAACAGTTAAAACTAAATAATTATATTATTTTTTTCTTTCCAAATTAGTATTGCTGTTTAATTATTAAACAGTAATAATAATTTTAGAAAGAGAAAAAAAAACAAAACAATCATTTACTCTTTTCTTATCTTTATGGATGCCCATCATGGCGAGTGAAAACAAGATTAGCTCTGTACAATATTGATCGGGAAAATCAGTATTCACCACTTGCAACTTATTTAATCATGGTAGTTTTACTGCTGTGTTTGTTTAAATTATTCAGCACTGTTTCTTATTAATTTCCAATACAAGGAATAAGCAGCTCATTATTCCCTTTTTCTCTTTTTCTTTTCTTTTCTTAAAAAAACCCTAGCAATGGTCCGTGATTTTTTCACTAAACCACGGGCGTCAATCCTTTTCATCACTCTTCCTCTTTTTTTTTTTTTTTTTTTTTTTCCTTCCTCCTCCTCCTTTAATACATCTAGTTCTTTACGAATCCATATATGTTTTCATTTTTTTTTATTTTTTCTATTAATATTTTGCTATTATTTGCTCATTTGTTGGGTTTTTATCTTTTTTTAGATAAAAATTTGATATTACATCTTATGATTTATAAAAGATTGTCAATCTTTGACGATAAATTTTGTAATACATAAGGATTAACTAATGGCATGTACGATAGTTACTTCTTGGATCCACTTTGAGGAGAGAGATAGAAACATAAAAAGAGAAAAAATAAAAAAGTTTGAGTGACGTGGAAATCTTCTTATCACTTTTGATAGGTATGGATGTAATTTATCTTTTTTATATATTTATCTCCTCAAATTTGAGTCAATGAATAACTATTGTACATGTTATTAGTTATTTTTTGTGTGTTATAAAATTTTTCAATCTTTGACGAGTATATATATATATATATATATATATATAAACTGATAATCTTTAACGGTTATAAAAAAATAAGATTTTTTGAAAATAAAACCTAACAGGACAGCTCGATCTTCTATTGATTTATAACAATTTAAAATGCTTTTCAGTACGTGTGAATGAGATGCATCCACAATTTTATTGGAAGAAGCTCTGGATGCGAAAGATCAGAAGTTTCAATTTGAGGTTAACAAGAAAACCAGCAGTGACCTAGAATATTATATTTTAATATTTTTATTTTTATGTTTTGTTTAATCTACTTTTATTTATTAAGTTCTAATTTTCATAGTAAATGACTATTGAAAATAGCAATGTGTGTTGTTTTAATTTTAATTCAACAAGATTGCTATATTTCATGATTAAAAAAAAATGCTCAATATAATCCATTTATGTTTGTAAAATTAGCTTTAGTTGGAGTCAATCTTTAATATAGAAAAATTTGTATCTACATACGAGATGAATGATGCTACATGAATTAAGTTGTACAAGTCATAAATATGCAAAAATAAAAATAAATTCGTCAAATATTATATGAACTCGAGTCATATTGTGATTTAATTAAAATTTGAAAGGATTTTTAGTTGTTTTAGGTAAGAAATTAGGATTTAAATTTTGAAATACGGATGATTTGATCATACTATGCAAAAAAAAAAAAAAGAGCTAACCGATCGAATGAGTAGCTCAAGATCCTGGCGAGAAATTTATTATTATAATTATAGATCAATCACGTGATAGTATTCATTTATGACGTGGATTCAATTTCATATTGTGAGGAAATTGCTTATCTCTATTATATCCAAGCAATGAAGCAATTAGATGACCTTTAACTATTAACCTTCCCAATTAATTGAGCAAGTTTTACACCCAGGTTACTATTTAACAGTTATTTGTATATGGACAATTTTGAATAATAATTAAAGGCAAAATGATGGATTGATTCCTTTAATTTTTACATCTTACCATTGCTGGCAACGTGGTTCTGGGCCCACTAATATAATTATTATATGATTAACGTACACAAATCCTGCCAGGAGAGAAATTAAACATGAAATGCAGAAAGAAAATGCGACAAGAAAAGTGAAGCGAATAGAGAAAAAAGTGCTGCTAATAACATTCATCTGTTCGATTTATCAAAAAGGCCAAAAAAATGTGGCAAAGAAAAGATAAGATACATGCATAGGTAAGGTTAAAATGACAGTATAGTTCATCGTGTCTATTTACACATATGCATATCTCTTGGGAGAACTTTCTTTAGATACCACACCTACTTTGGTAAAAGACCAAAAAAAACACATCCAAACCAAAAAGTAAAACAGATATCTGAATCATTCACAATTAATGCACCCCTTTCACGACTCTTATCAAAAAGGCCTTGTGGTTTAATCAGTGGACCCCGCGCACCACCCACGAAAACCCACTACTATAAATATAGACTTGACGCCTCCACTTGCAACCCACAACCCATTTTTTTCCCTACAATATTTCCCTTTCTCTTCCACCTATCACCTGCCTTTGCACAACGTTAGCCAGGTGAATTAGTCAAAGCCAAAACATGGCTTCCTCTTCTCTAGCTTTCCCTTCCTTTCAACACCAATTCCAATCGCTAAAAAAGCCATCTACTCACAAGCCCTCCACACGTCCCTTATCTGTCCGTCCGATCAGGGCATCAGTGTCAGAAAAACCATCGGTTCCTGCTGCATCTGTTACTGTTTCACCATCTGAATCCACTAAACTCCCCGTCACTAAAATTCCTGGTGATTGTGGCCTCCCTTTTTTCGGTCCCTTGAAAGATCGCATGGATTATTTCTATAACCAAGGCAGAGTCGAGTACTTCAAATCCAAAATTCAAAAATACCGATCAACGGTGTTTAGAGCCAACATGCCACCAGGTCCTTTTATTGCTCCAAATCCACAGGTCGTGGTTTTACTTGACGGCAAGAGCTTTCCAGTTCTATTTGACGTGACAAAAGTTGAAAAGAAAGACCTTTTTACAGGTACTTTTATGCCTTCAACAGAACTCACTGGTGGCTACCGAGTTCTGTCCTATCTTGATCCGTCCGAACCAAAGCACGCCAAATTGAAACAACTCATGTTCTATCTCCTCAAGTCACGCCGTGATCACGTAATCCCTGAATTCAATGCCAGTTACACAGAACTCTTTATGAGTCTTGAAAAAGATTTGGCTCTCAAAGGGAAAGCTAGTTTCGGTGCTGCTAGTGA